AGGCCGTCTGGGGTCAGGGTGCAGGCCGTCTGGGATCAGGGTGGAGGCCGTCTGGCATCCAAGCCAGCTCACATACTTGGAGGCCGCCTCCTCATCGTACTTTCGGCGCAGCTCTATCAGCTCCGTCTGCGTAGCCTTCAGCGCTGGGGAGACACAGGCGGGTGAGGCCCAGGTGGGGCTGGGGAGGGGGCGAGGGGTCTCCCCACAGCTTCCCAGGTGCGCACCTGAATGTAACACCTTGATTTTCTCCTCGGCCTCCCCCAGTCTGGCTGCCAGGGTGAGCTGGACGTCCTGAAGGCCCCTGAGGAGAGGACGCTGGTACAGGCCGCAGGGGCCTCCGTGGCCCCCAGCCCTCCCTCCCCTCCCCACGACCCGCACCCCTCTCTGCATGGCAACTGTGTGCCCCCCGGGGGTGCTGTGCGTTTTCTACAGCACCAATGGGTCTCAGTTTCCCCATCTGCAAAATGGGTTTCTGCCTCGGGGTGTCACAGGCAGGCCCAGCCCGGCCCGGTGTGCAGTGTGTGGTGAAGTCGGTGCTCGGGGGCCACGGAGGCTCCTGGGGGAGAGAGGGGGGCACTGGCAGGGTTGGAAAGGTTGATGCAAAGCTGCGGCACCTGACATGGCCTGGCTCTGTGGTGGAGGGGAGGAGCCCCTGAACTCCGACTTCACCCACCACACACCGCCTGGAAGTGCCCGGCCCCCAGAGCCACTCCCACCGCCCCAGTGCCCAGCGGCCTGCCTGTGCCCGCACACCAGCCTCCTGTGCCAGCACCGCAGTTATGTGAGCCAAGTCCTTACATACCAACCCCCCCAAATCAGTTCTGGGTCTCCAGACAGCCCTGATCCAAGCTGGGGCATTGATCCCCATTTTTCAGATGGGGAAACCGAGGCTCAGAAGAGTGATAGCTCCCCAGGGTGGACAGCCAAGCCCCTGGGGTGAGGCTCGGGTCTGGGCGGCCCCATCGCCCCCTCTTACCCGTCTCCCCCTCCCTCCCCCCGCAAGGCACCCCTCCCTCACTTCTGTTTCTCTGCCTCATTCCGGTGCAGCAAGGCGTCTGTCAGGTGGGCTTTCCCGGGGGGTCCGGGGACGCAGCTGCCCTCAGTCAGGATGGGTCCCGGGGGACACAGCCCGTCCCTCTGCTCTGCAGGGAGACAGAGACAGACACCCATCGCCCAAGGAGCAAGGTGACAGATGACAGCATGGGGCCTGGCCTGTGGCTCCTGGCAGCTCGGCCGAGCTCCCACGGTGTCTGCCTCCATCATCATCCTCACCATCATCATCACCACCATCACCATCATCATCATCATCTATTTATTTCTGCCAGTCCTGGGGCTTGAACTCTGGGCTTTGGTGCAGTCCCTGAGCTCTCTTCAGCTCAAAGCTAGTGCTCTTCCACTTGAGCCACAGCGCCACATCTGGCCTTTTGTGGTTTATCAAGCATAACAGTCTTACAGACTTTCCTGCCCAGCCTGGTTTCCAACTGCGATCCTCAGATCTCAGCCTCCTGAGTAGTTAGGATGACTGGTGTGAGCCACTGGCAGCACCCTGCTTTGAATCTACTTGTTAGCGGTTCCCCAACTTCAGGGGCTAAATGCATAATCACAGATTCCCCACCAGGGCCCATGGGTCTACAGAGCAGCAGAGAGTGGCAGAAAGGAATGTGGGCACTACCTGGAGGTTGGCACCCACCCAGGAAGTCATGGGCTCCAGGGCTCTCCACCTGCCCCTCTCCTCCCAGACATGGCTGGACTACATCTCCCAGCATCCTTTGCAGCCAGCCACTTTGGGTGTAGAAGGGTGGGCTGCCCCCTCCCGCCCCACCTCTGCAAACTCTACCTTGTGTCTCTGGGAGCAAATCTCAGCAGTGGCATTCCCTGTCACATGGAGATGGGGCACCTCTGCCCTCTGGAATGTTCTCCACCCACTTCACCCGCCCTTCAGCAGACTGAGATCTGGGCTCACTGCCTGTCTCTGCCCCCAGGGGAGGGGGAGGCCATGTCCAGCTGCTGGGGCCGCCTCAGTACCTTTGGGCCCGCGGTGCTCCGGGTGCCTCTTCCACGGGGAGGGGGGGTCTTGCCGGGCCTGGCTGCTGGGGTCCCAGCTGGGGGGCTGCGGTCTGTTGTCCAGGCTGCGCCCCACCTCAAACCTGGACACAGGGTCTGCATGGAGAGAGAAGGGGGGAGAGTGGATATTCTGTGGGGAGCTGGAGAGATGGACCGCCCCAGGGCCCCCCAGAGCAGCTGCGATGGCTCAAGGGTACGCACCCCCCATCACATTGTCTGTCACCATAATGGTCCATCTTGATCCCACAGTGGCTCTGTGGCTCCCCATCATGGTGTGTCACTGCGCTGGGTCCCCGCCCCCCTCTGAGCCTGCATGCTGTGGGGACACTGAGGCAGGGCCCTGTGGAGGTCTAGGGGCTGAGGCCAGCCCCTGGCGCCCTGCTCCGTTTCCTCAGGGATCTTGGCACACAAAGCTGGCAGCGGCCTCCTGTGCCTCTCGTGTTCCTGTAACAAGTAGTCTTCTACCTCCATTCTTCGTTGTTGGTCGTGGGGCTTGAATTCTGGGCCTGGGCACTGGCCCTCAACTCTTCAGCTCAAGGTGAGCGCTCTACCACTTGAACTGTAGCAGCACTTCTGGTTTTCTGGTGGTTCATTGGAGATAAAGAGTCTCACCTACTTTCCTGCCCAGGCTGGCTTTGAACCGTGATCCCCAGATCTCAGCCTCCTGAGTAGCTAGGATTACAGGTGTGAGCCACCAGCACCCGGCTTCAACCTCCGCTCTTCATGTAAGCCACCTCCAACTTCTGGTCCCTCTCCACTGCTTCCTGGCTAGCCCCCTGGGGGGGCTTCCCTGGGGGTGGGTGCTAACAATCCCGGAGGTGTGGGGGGGTGGGGGGATTCCCAAACAAGGCAGCGTGGAGCACTGAGGGTTCCTTGCTCCGAGATCGTGAGGGCGCCTTTCCTGGGGGTATGCTGGGCAGCCACGCCATGGAAGCCAGTGCTTCCTCGCCTCAGGCCCGGGACCCTGGGGTCCCGGGGTCTGGTCCCATCCCTCCAGTTCTCTCCTCCTGGTCTAACCCAATACATTTTTGTGGACAGAAGACACCAGGGGCAGGCAGGGGGCTTCAGGTCAGGCTGGAACAAGGCGTCCCCTTGTCTTGTGCGGCCGCCTGTTTGTTTAGGTGGCAGGAGGCCAGACCATGGGCACGCGTGGCGGGTGAGCAGGTGTGAGGCGGCGGTGCGGCTCTCTGTCAGCCCCCCTCCGCAGCAGGGTCTGCCATTATGTCTCCCCGGGCTGATGTAATTATACATTGACATAATTAACCCAGCAAGCGCATTAGGCAGGCCAGCTAAAAATTCATCTATAATTATTTGTTGTGTGCATGCTAATGAGTCCATCTGCACTGCCTTTGTATAACACAAGCAAATTAATTTACAAGTCTGGATTTTTTAATAAGTTCAAGGAATCGCTTCCCATTGTGTCCGCAGGTTTGAGAAGGAAAGAGAGGGTGGATGGCCGCAGGGGTTGCGGGGAGCGAGGTGAACTCAAGGTGAGCACCAGGACTTGTTCTGGAAGTGCAGTGAATGGGGGGGGGGCGCAAGGCTGAGTCCTGTTGGCCATGTGCCCTTTGCACACAGAACCGACTGTGCAGAGCCTCAGTTTCCCTGATGGTCAAGCAGGCCAGGTGTGTAGGGCGGACGCGAGGGAGGTGGAGAGGGGAGGAGTGGGGGCACTGCAGGGGGCCCTGGCTGCTGTTACTACCCCAAGAAGGCAGCATGCCTGGCAACGCTCTGGGGTGTCCCCCAGTGCTCGCGCTGCGCCCCAGGAGGACGTGCCTGGAGCCCGTGCCACCCTGGCGTCCAAAGTCCAGCAGAGACGGTTGTTTGGGGAGGGCCTGGCTGGCTCAGTTGTACTTCATCTCCCTGTGCAGGGGCAGCTCACCCCCATATCGCGAGGTACATACTGCTGATGGGGAAACTGAGGCATGCCACGATGACACTTCCCCGAGGGGAGGCGGTGAGATGGCTAGAACCAGGCAGATTCTCCCAATAGCTGTCAGAGGGGCACCGCGGGAGCCCGGGGTCTGTCACACATCGGTCCTGTGTGTGTGGCCTGTGTGTAACACTCCTGGTGTGGGAAGAAGGCGGGGGACCCCCGGGGCTGCGGGAGGGACCTTCTGTTTCTTTCCAGGGGCCAAAGTGGAGAAACAGTTACAGTTCCCTCTTAGCTTCGAATGAGGCTGTCCATCACAAGGTCCTGCCTACTGGCAAGGAGGTCGCTTGACTCAGGCTGGCCAATCAGACACTCCCCTGGGAACCTGAGCCAGTCTGCCAGCCAGTCAGGGCTCAGGCAGCTGCCAGGGCTGTTCAGGCCAAGCAAGATGGACAAATGGGAGCGACGGGGATGAGGATGCAGAGGGTCTCTGACACACAGTATGAGTTTAGTAAATGTCTACTGAGCAAGGAAAGGTGGGCGCACCGGCCCCGGGGCCCTTCTGAGTGCGGAAGGCGGGCGGTGGTGTGGGTGTGGCGGCCGGGCCGGCACAGATGCTCCATCCGGGAAGATGGCAGAGGGACTGGACCATAGACATCTGGGTTCGGGTCTCATTTCTCACTCCATGCAGGGCCGCAGATAAGGTGTCCTACTGCTGTAAGCCTCAGTTTTCCCTCTCTGTAGAACGGACACAGTTGGCACCCGTGAGACCACCGCGAGGACTCAATGACTCAGTGACAAGCCGTCTTTGCGGCGCATGGCTCCCGATAGGCTCAGCAAAGGCCAGTGGGACACTTCAGGGAGCCCCGAGGGACCGGCTCTCACGCTGACCTGCGCTGGCCCTGCCCACCTTGGTTTCCTGGGTCTTGCCCACCTCAGCCCAAGGAAAGAACCAGAAGCTGCACATGCGCAGGTAAGCAGGGCCAGATGGAGCCTCTCAGCAACAGGGGAGCTGAGGGCCAAAGAATTAAGTCAGGCACCTGCGGCTCACGCCTGTCATCCCAGCTACTCAGGAGGCTGAGACCTGAGGATCACGGTTCAAAGCCAGCCCGGGCAGGAAAGACCATAAGACTCTTATCTCCAGTAAGCCACCAGAAAACCAGAAGTGGCGCTGTGGCTCAAGCGGTCGAGAGCCAGCCTCACATGAGGAAGTTCAGGGGCAGCGTGCAGGCCCTGCGGCCCCACCCGGGGCTGCCACGATGAAAGCAATCAACAAAAGTCACCAGCCACTAGACACAGGAACCCCAACGCTGAGGTGTCTACATCTAAGGACCCCCTCGAGGAGCTGAACTGGAGTGGGCGGGGCCAAGAGGACAGGAGAGGGGGGACCCCGCACCCGGGCAGGCTGGGGCGCAGGACGCACAGTATATGGGTGTCCCCAGTGGCCGGTGCTGCGGTGCTCCTGAAGGGGGTGGGGGGGCATTAAGTCCATCCCAACACAGGTGCCCTGGGAAGGTTTTAGGGGATGCCGCCCACAGTGGGTGTAGATGGATCTAGGCAGAAGTATAGATGCACCCCTCCACCACGCCCCCAGCCTCCGCCATGCCCCCAGCCTCCGCTGTACCCCCGGCCTCCATGGTACCCCCGGCCTCCGCCGTACCCCTGGCCTCCATGGTACCCCCGGCCTCCGCCGTACCCGCGGCCTCCATGGTACCCCAGCTTCCACGGTGCCCCCGACCTTCACAGTGTCACCGGCCTTCACAGTGCCTCTAGCCTCTTCAGTGTTCCTCCCCCCCCTCCTGCATCCACAATGCCACCCAGCCTCCACGGTGACCCCTGCCTCTATAGTGCCTCCCAGCTTCCACGGGCTCCCCCCACCCCCGGGCTGAAGCCGGCTCCATCTGGGCCCTAGCGAGGCCCACTTCAGTTCTTGAAGCTTCATTTTCCCCCAGGGATGGGCTGCCGCCTTCCTCCCCTAGGGCTGGAACTGGCTGGTTTCTCTGGGTGAGGGGTTCCTGGCTTCAGTGGGGGCCGAGGGGTTGGGATTCTGCTGGGTGACCCTGAGCAAGTGGCTAGACCTCTCTGAGCCTCATGCGTCCTCAGAAGCCCAATGTGCACACAGGACAATGGAACCTTCCGCCATGGTATAGAGGGTCGGGGATGTTTGTCTATGGGGACTGGAAGGTCCCCAGAAATGCCCCAACAGGCCATCACTGAGCCCCACGTCTCCCTCAGGGGCACCTCCATGGGCCAGCCCTGGCGGTTGGGCGGTTGTCTGTCTCCAGAGCCCCAGGGCAGCAGGGATGGACTCTGATGCCAGCCCCCGGGTGCTGGCGGGAGCGGCCTGGCAGAGGGCGGGGGAGAGGGGGCTGCGACGGCGGAGGGGAGGGAGCCGGCCTGCCGGGGACCACAGCATCACCAGGCTTTGTCTGTCCTCCGATGACCTGGGACCACCCCCCCCCGCAGGCCTGGGGGGAGGGGGCACTGCTCCTGCAGACCGCAGCATCCAGAGAACGAGTCTACTTCCTGCCGTGGCACGCCCACCAGGGGGCACCAGAGCCAGTCTTTTGCCAGCTCTGAGCCTCCCTCCTCCCCTGAGCAGCACACACAAAAACACGAAGATCTCAAAGCCAGGACCCCCCCCCCCGTGGCTCACGCCTGTCACCCCAGCTACTCAGGAGGCTGAGATCTGAGGGTCATGGTTCAAAGCCAGCCTGGGCAGGAACTTCCCTGAGACTCATCTCCAATAAACCACTGAACCAAAAGGCCACACGCAGCAGAGTCAGCCTTGAGAAAAAGAACTCAGGGATGGCACCCAGGCCCCAGGTTCAAGCCCAGGAGCAGCACACATCCACACGGAATGCAAAGACCACAGAAGTACTAACCCCACTCGCCACCCCACACACTCAAGGGGAGAAAAGGTGCTAAAGTCAGGACCTAAAGCAAAGGGCTGGTGAGATCCTCATGTACATGTGTGTGTGTGTATACTCAAGAGACACAGAAGCAAAGTCAGGACACAAAAGGTGGCTAGTGGAGAGGAGAGGAAATAAAGATTCCCATTAGTGCACGGGTGATATCCCTAATATATAAAGAGTGGTGACAAATCAATAAGAAAGTAGCATCTGCCAGGAAGGTGGACAAAGGATATACAAACTGGGCGCACGGATGGATAGGAAGGGATTTTGTGTCCAATAAAGAAGGAAGTGCAGTATTTACTCAAATAAACCAATTCTGGCTGCCAGACGACTACCACATATTTTTCTTGCCAAGTTTTAACTCCTGGATCTCAGCCCCCAAGCCAGGCCCTGCCAGCACCCCAGAGCCCTAAGCTGGAAGATGCTCAGGAATTTTCAGCACACACACACAGAGCACAGACAAGTTCCTGCGGCTCTGTCACCGCTAGGAAGGAGGAGGCTCAAGCCATTTCGTTGAGGGCAGGGATGGCTCTGCGTGTGCTGTCAGCCACTGTTTTGACAAAAAAGAAAAAAAAAGCACGCAGGAAAAAGAGGAGAGGAGGAAAAAAATGCTCCAACAAATTGTTTTCCTCCGAGATGCGTTTCCTTCAACTTCTGCACCCCTGGAGCCCATGGGGCGTCCGTTTCTTTTACGTCATTGGGAAGACAAACCACAAAGCCCACAATGGTCTAAGATTCCCCACCCCACCACTCACGGTGTCCCTAGTCCCCATGATCTCCACGGCCCCCAGCCTACGCTGGTCACCTTCACACCCCAGTCTGCGGGGTGCTGAGCTATCCAGGGCTTTTGGGGTACAGAGCATAGCACCTCTTGCTGACCCACGGACAGATTCTATGATTATCTCTCCTTGAAAGACATGGACACCGGCACTCAGAGAGGGTAAGACCCCTGGCCAAGGTCACACACCACACTGAGAGCCAGGCAGGTGTTTCTGCGGCTTCAGCCCAAACCTAACCATGCTGCTGACCAGACTCGCTCCAAAAGAAGGGACAGAGCAAGCCACACACGTGTGGGGAATCATAAAATCCTGCATCTTATTTAAAAATAGCAAATGGGGGGGGAAACCCACAAAAAAGCAAAGGCAGAAGAATGCATGGCACTCACCTCTCCTCGCTCTTCTGCTCAGCAACGATGCCAGCCAGCCTCTCTCCCACTCGCTTTCCTTGTTTGGCTTCTCTCTCTCTCTCTCTCTCTCTCTTTCTCTCTGCCAGTCCTGGGGTTTGAACTCAGGGCCTGTGCTGTCCCTGAGCTTTTTTGGCTCTACCACTTGAGTCACAGCTCCACTTTTTTTTTTTTTTTGCTGGTTAATTGAGAGGAGAGTCTCACAGACCTTCCTGTCCAGGCTGGTTTTGAACCTGGATCCTCAGATCTCAGCCTCCTGAGTAGCTAGGATGACAGGCGTGAGCCTCCAGCTCCTTTGTTTCTCCTTGTAACTATCGAGTGGTCAGGTCACAGGTGGGACCGGCGGCCTCCCGCGGGGCTGTGCGCGCGGGCCCCACCAGCCCGAGTCACAGAGGCGTAAATCAAATCTTCCTCTAGGACAATGACATTAATTATGCTTTTAACACGTTTTACTGCTTTTTTTCCCCCTTCACACTTCACGCCACATCTGTGTGAACAATATCTAAAAGATTTACGATTTTCTTTCGTAATTACAGACAAGCAGGCTTCAAACTTATCAAAATACTCGCTGAGCAATCAGCCCATGTCGCATTTTTCTGCCAAAGATTTGGGCTGGGAGCAGCCATTGAAAACAAAAATGTTGAATCAGGACTTGTGTGTGGCGGGGGTGGGGGAGAAATCCCACAAATAATTTGCCTGTCAAGAAAGACACAAATGGAGCCCGTGCATCTGCACCTCTGCTTTGCCCCCCCCCGCCGCGTGGGGTGCTGGGGGGGGTAAGGACCAGGAAGGGGGGCACCGCCAGCACAGGGAGCCCCAAACCCGCATCTGACATTTGGGTTCTTGTGTCTGAGATAAAATTTAATGAGAACAAAAAATATGTCTTCCCGATTCCCCTAAGAAATCATTAAAAATATTTTGTTATTCTTAAATGTCTCCGACATGAATTAGAGCGCCTCAAGGCCCATCTGGGCGGGCTGTTTGGTGCAGTAAAGGCTCCCCTTCCTCAGCTAGGTGACAGCTGGGGACAGAGGCCCCCTCCTGCACCACTCCGCCCCCCGCTTCCGGGGAGATCACTGGGAGTCACACAGAGTGAGCACCAGGCCCAGTGTGACCCGGCGCTCTGCAAGAGGGGTGACGGGAAAGGAAGCCCTCCAGGAGCTCACCCCACGGGGCTGTCACAGCTTCTAGTCCCCGCGTCTCCACTGCCATAGGGTGTGTGTGTGTGTGTGTGTGTGTGTGTGTGTGTG